ACGACGGCGGTTGAACAATATACAGAGTATGGTACGGCGAATGATAGACTTTCATTTTCATTTCTTCACATTTCCAATATTTTCTAATACATTTGTATTTCTTTCCATATTATAATATTTTTTGGCAACGTCTTACGGCATGCATTTGCTCATTTTGCAGCTGCTTGGTACGATTTACAGTATAGTCAAAAACGTTTTCTTTTGGAAACGGACAAAAATTAATGCGGATGTCATCCATATAATGAAATCAACATGACCTACATGTAAAAAATGTACTTGCACTATATGTATTGATCAGATATAGGATCAACGCAATTCAGGGGTACAATGTATACCGTTATTACATGACCTAAAATTTGAAGTGTTATGATTTCTGTCGGCTCTGTGTTTGGCATAAGTCAGTCTCTATTATCAATAGGCAGCAACAGCTCCATTTTCACATACCAGTGCGGCTCTAGATCAGGTGTAGGTGTAATTATTACACCCACTAGGGAGTCCAAGTTGACAGCAGGCTGGACAGTGTTTTTTTATGTAGTTAACATGAAGACTATTTTCGGCAGTTCTCATGGCCTAAATAAGTATGGAAGTGAAATAAGGAATGACGGCGACTCTCTATGGTGGAATGACAGACGTCAGAGCTGGTTCAACTAGAGTAGGATGGTTCTGTTGGTACAGTCAAAATAACATCCACACTGACGTACTTGTTTACCTTTCCACCTCTACAGGAAACACAATGTACGCAAATAGTGAAGGACTACATTATAGTACGTCATCAACACCCACTGTGCATAGTTCATAGCAGATCCTGGCTTTTAAATCAGCAATACAACAAGGATGCTCTGCGTCTAAGTAGAATCGAGAGCAAGATTTCAGCTATGAAGTACCCTATTTACGAAATCTTTAATGACGTACTTTATGGAGCATTCTCGGAAACGGCCCAGTATTGGACGCTGTGGGAGGGGTAGTGACATATATGCTCAATACAATTTCATACATTCCACGCTGTAGATAAATTCATTGTAGAACTAGAGTTCTTCGATTTCATACCTCCATGACATGTTTAGCGCTTTTGTATCTTTAATGCATGGTGATGACCACCTGTACATGTACATTTACAATATCCTGCTCATTAGTAAAGTTCTTATCATTGTTTGCAGATATTCTATCTGTTGATCATGTTCTCCACGGCACCCAATGATTGGGTTAAAGCTATTCTAGCTTATCCTCCTATATTATGAAAATGAGGTCCTGATGTTCGGGTTCACTGAACTTCCAATTATGGCAAGTATTAAATTCTCAGCAGTTACCACTATAGAATTGTAGCAATTTCACAATAATTATGCAAATCAGGTCCTCATTTACATAATCTATATCTGCCAATGTTCCTGTCGTTCTCAATTACATATGTCACAAGTGTTTCATAGCCCTAATATCAAACACAACAGAGCTATGGAATTTCCTCATTAATTATGCAAATTAGATTCAGATTTGCATAATTGTAATTTAGTGATGCCAAGCATCACTTCACCTACCTACATACCAAGAATCATGACGATCCGTCAACGGGTAACTTAGTTATCCTCTCTCGAAGATTTTTAAAGAAACCGTCTTGCAGTTCCAGAACAAGCTGTTAGGGGGGCCAAACTCACGTGACTTCTTTCCAAGCACAAAGGCTTCCTTTCCATTTAAAATTTCATGACCCTAGCATGTCCAGATCCTGAGATATCGAAACCGGAAGTTGCCCTGCAATACCAAGGGAAGCCACTAGGGGCCCAAAATCTAATCATTTCCAGTTTTCGCCACACCCTACCAACACACCAAGTGTGAAACCAATCCATCCAGCCGTTCTTGAGTTATCTTGTTGAACAGACAGACGGACAGACGGACGAACGCAACTGAAAATATAACCTCCATGACATTAACCTCCATGACATGTCATGGAGGTAATTACATTCTAGAAGAAAATTACCCCTATAGTGTACAGATAGGTAAATATATAAAAATTGTTTTGATCTTAGACCTGCTAGTATCAAACAAAGGCGGAGTTGACACGTCAAACTCAACTCCGCCTTTGTTTGTGTGCATAGGGAAACAGCAAGTAAATTTTATGGATGACATCACGGTTGTTCTACATAGACTAGAGCTGGTCCCAGGCCATGCCGTACACTACCAATGGCTTTCCCGGTAAAGGCAAGTGTGCATCAGAAATATGTCATTTTCAAATTTTGAAGCAATTGCGCTAGTTGTTTTGTTCCTTGTTGTCTTGTACCTTGTTCACCTTTCTACCATACAGTTCAGTGGCTTCACGAAGAAAAGTGCTATGCAGATACTATATAGTTACCTTTGCTTACCTTACTTTGGGAGGGTTTGTCTGTGTGTCTGTGTGTCTGTCTGTATGGCTGTAGACTCCAGAATGGCTGGATGGATTTGTTTCATATTTGATGTGTAGGTAGGGTGTGACGAAAACTGGATACAAAATGATTCGATTTTAGCTTTCTACGGTACTGAAGCAGAACTTCCCGACTTTGATATCTCACGTTCTTTGCATGCAAGGGGCACGGTATTTAGGTGGTAGATAACATAACTCTTGTGCTCGCGAAGAAGATTGAAGTGACATAAGTTTGTTCTGGAACTGCGGTTTCGATTAAGATTTTGACCCACAATATCAGGTCAGGCGATCCAAAGAGTCACCTCCTTCAAACTACTCGGGGTCCATATCTCTGCCGACCTGACTTGGGACGCCCACATTGAGTACATGCTGAACAGAGCTCGACTTAGAATGTATTATCTTAGTGTCGCTAAGAAGGCGGGCTCTCGATAGAGTGCCCTATTTCAGATCTACCTGACGTTCATCAGACCTATTCTTGAGTATGCTGGCCCGGTTTGGGGCGAACTGCCCAAACACCTGTCAGACTCACTAGATAGAATCGATCCAGAAGCGTTGCCTCAGGATCATCGGGCTACCTGCTGACGCACTCCCTACCCTAGCAAACAGACGCGAGAGAGCTACACTGAGAACACTTGAAAACATCCTGCAGGACAGTACTTTGGGGATTCATCACTACCCGCTCGGCCAATCACTACAACCTCCGCAGGGGAAGACGCCACCTATCAATGAGATGTAAAAGCAAAAGACATTCAATGTCATTCATACCCGGCGAGCCTTTTAAGGCTTTAAAGACTCTACTACAGAAATGACTCTTAGTTGTAACGACCCAACGTTACGAATATCTAACACCTGATCTGTTTAGGCTTAGGTTGCAATAGAACTTTCTCACGATTTTATGGACTGCATACCTAATGTACTAGTACTGAGACTTCCCCAGACAAATCATCTTCAAGTTATTATTAGTTGACTAAGTTTGTATAACTACATATTGTTGAAATACTACGTTTAGTATGATTTTAGATTTGCTGCACACTGCTACAATTAGAATGATTTTAGAAATGTAACAATTCAGCCGCCAGGCTGCAATGTGCTTTTGTGCAATAAGCCAATTTGAAATTTGAAAGGGTAAATTCTATACGGCTACTATCATCTCTGAAAGGACTACGGTATTCAAACTGGAAATAATTTGCATACTAACGTTAAACGTTGATGACTTTCTATAAATCTGCTGTATTCCATAATTGGCCTATGGAATACTTGTGACATACGTAATTGGGGACGACAGGAACAACTGACGATATAGATTATGTAAATGAAGACCTAATTTGTATAATTAATTGCAAATTGCTATAATTCCATAGTGGTAACTGCTAGGCAGTTCATACTTGACGCATTTCGAAGTGGAAGTGAACATCAATAAACATAATTTATTCAAATCATAACTTTATTTGCATAATCTATGAGGAAGTACTAGAATAGCCTTCTCTGTTAAGGCTGTCATTGGGTGGAGAATATGACCAACGGATATAATCCATGATGGAAATGAAATAAGGATCTTATTTTCATAGTCAATGAGAAAAATGTATAATTTCGTCAGTCGGAATGGTTAACATCATATAGTGGTGAAGGTGTGAGATCGTGGAAGTCTTTACTTATTTTTTATTTTGTGCTGCTGGTCAACCGTTACATTGACAAATATACAAAACATTGATTTGTTGTATTGAGATCGCCACAATACAACACATACAAATGGAACATACACTGGTGTTTCGCACCGCACATTACTGTAATGAGGCCGCAGCATTTACGATTACAAAACGTAGGCGGCATGCATAAAAGCCACAACCGACCAC